TATTTTAGCATATTGTTGCTTAATTCAACACAATTACACTGCTATTCTTACTTATCTGTACATCTGTTTTAATTCATCACATCACAAGACTTTAAATCTATTCAATAACGTTGAATGTCACTTTTTTGCCACAATTTTCAATGTCTAATCCATTCAATACCAGGCCTTTTGGTGCCACAGTTTACTTAAGTAGGATCATCAGATCACCATCCATAACAAGAACAGCAGGTAAACATTTATTCATGCAACTTTGATGTTTATCCAACCTTTTTCAAGTGCAAATGCCAAAATACAATAAAAAGACTAGAAAAACAGAAACACATCAATGCATAATTACAACAACATTTTCAGACTGAAAAATGATTACACTTTTTTATATTAAAAATATTGTTTTTATTACATTCGCCAGCTGAAATGAACAGGGCCAATATCTTTTTTAAACAGCTACATTTTTTATAAAATAAAAACATATCACTGAGTGTGGGATAAGGTCTTGGATTACTTTTTCGTTGCTAAAATGTGACTCACTTTAAATTCCTCGATAAGAAATCTCACATTTAACAAATCCTTGAAGGTAAACATAACAATTTTGACAGTGACTTAACACATTTCCTTTATTGTGAAAAGGTCCCTCTTCTTAAGCTAGTAGCTTATTCTTGAGGGTGTTCACTTTTGGGGACAACTTTGAACAATCAAGAAAGAGTTTCTGGAAGGTTACAAATGTGTACCGGCAAGATTCACTGCATATGTCAACCCAATGAGCATGGAGCAAGCGCTTGGAAAGTTACTCAGTGCAGTCAGAACTTTCTTGCCTTCCACCACGATACCAATGTTATCGGGACCCTCTGACGTATTAGTCTTGATGTTGTAGATTTTCATCCTTTGAATAGCAAGGTCCTATACACACTGTCTTCATCAGCATCCTGAAAGAGCAAAAACAATGTGTTTCTCAGACTGTACAGCCAAATGTGAATGTTTTATTGAACATCTCCCAAAGTGTCTCAAACCCTTTGGACAATAAAATCTGGGGCTGTCAAAGCCTATTTGGCCATTTGTAACAATTTCAGAAAAATCTGAGCTCATATACTTGCTAAAGCATATAAGTTAAAAGTGATCAAACCAGGGTCCATTCCATAAAGCAAGCTCAGAAAAGCGGCGCTTCATGTGAAACACCTGACTTGAATAAGCCTAACAAATGAGATGAGGCTCAAGCGGTTCCATAAAGGCCGAGCCACATCCATGCAATCAAACTAATTCAAGACAGGTTCAGCTAGTCAGACTAATTGCGTGTGCACGCCATTCATAAGCAGCCCATAAGGTCGAACACAGATCAACTGGATTCACAATGGCAAAATGTAATACGAAAGAGCAAGCGGCAATGTTCACTGTCTCAGAGCAGGCACTTATAATGAAGACCTATGAAGAATTTAAATGTATAATAATGAAAAGCGGTATCACAGCAGCAATAAATAAACAGTTGTCTCAGGGTGCTGCACAAAAGTCCAAAATCTTAAGAAAGACAAAATCCAACTTGTTCCACACCGAAGCCAGCATGAGCAACAGCGGGGAGGAAAAACTCCCAGGTGGAAGAAACCTCCGACAGAACCGGGCTCGGTGTGGACGGCCTCTGCCAGGACCGGTTGGGGTGAGTAATAATATAGGGGAACAAAAGAAAATACATGGAGTGGGGTTGCCTATATAGGCTGGACCTTAATTAGTTACAACAAAAAGGGAAACACACCCTAAAAACGTCTTAGTTTACTTTTTTAGGCATTATTTTAATTGTAATATTCAATATTTTAAATGTAACCAATACATAGCCTTTAAAACAGCGTTTCATGTT